AAGACTTAAATCTCACCAAAAGACTCCTACAGTTAATAATCATTTTGTAAGGCAGCAAGATACAACATTGTCAGGTAAAAGGCCGAAAACCAAGACCAGACCAGGCCACAACAAGCCTTTATTGTAGGGACAATCTGCCGGTCTGTCTCTGAACAAAAGAGAGACAAAAGCAATATGGCCAGAACAGGAAGTGCCTTTTACAGGAGTGGGGGTGGGGCTTGTAAGAGTTGAGGTGGGGTTGGGTGAGGTAGTGGCTAGGGACTGGAGGAGCCTGTGACGTCACTAGTTGCTAGAAGGAGGGCAAGTATTAGGTTACTCTTGGTGGGAGTAGGGGCATGTTGGAAAGAAGGTAGCTATTATATACAACAGCCACCCTAAATTAGAGGAAAATCTATCAAAAATCACACCAAAAAACAATAGTATTCCTCTACACCTATAATGAGCTCACTGAAAAATTACAAAAATAATAGCATTCACAGTAGCTTCAAGAAAAATTAAGTGAAAGACCTGTACAATGAAAACTATAGTGCTCTGAAAAAGGAAATTGAAGAAGACATCAGAGAAATTGAAGTCATCAAAGATGTTTGCAGTTCCTGAATAGGCAGAACCAATATTGTCAAACTGGCCAACTTTCAAAACTGACATACAGATAGAATGCAATCCTAGTCAACATACAAACAGCATTCCTCAGATAACGAATCAAAAATCTCAATGGAACCATAAGAGAACCAGAATAGCAAAAGCATTCCTGGGCAATAAGAGCAAAGTAAGTGTCATCATAATTCCAGATTTCAAATGTTACAACAAAGCTACAGTGATAAAAGCAGCATGGTCCTAGCACAATAAGAAAGGTGGGTTAGCTGAACAGGAGAATGCTGAAACAACCTAGGCATATTCATCCATCTGATCTTTGACACAGGATCCAAATGCTGGAGGAAAGATAGCCTCTTTAACAAGTGATGTTGTGAGGGGCTAGGGATTTAGCTCAGTGGTTCTGGCGTCTGCCTCGCAAGCGCAAGGTCCCAAGTTCGATCCCCGGTACCAAAAAAACAAAAAAAAACCCAAATGATGTTGTGAATACCAGCTATTAACATGCAGAAGATTTTTTTATGCATATGTTTCACTGTGTACTAAACTAATCAAAATGGATCAAAATTTAATTATTAAAACAAAATCATCCAGAGATGAAATAAGTAAAACTTTTGAAGTTTTGGGTATAGGCAAGAACTTTCTGAACAGAACCCCAGTTGCACAAGAAATAACATCAAGAAATAATTGGGATCATATCAAATTGAAGTTTCTGTACAGCAAAGGAAACAGCCAACAGAGTTAAGAGACAACCTATGGAATTTTTCCAGCCACTCCTCAGAGGACTAATATCTAGACTATATAAAGAACTCAAAAAATTAGACCCCCTCCCAAAAAGAACCAATCAAAAGATGGGCAAGTGAAATGAATAGACACTTCTCAGAAGAAGTACATGAAATAAGTACATGAAAAAATGTTCAACATCTCTGGTCATTAAAATAATGCAAATTAAAACAACATTGAACTTTTACTCCAAAAAAAAAATGGCTGACATCATAAATCAAGTAACAACAAATGTTGGCAAGGCTACAGAGAATAAGGAGCCTTCTACATTGTTGGTTGGAATGTAAACTAGTACACTCTGTGGAAATCAGGATGGAGTTTCCTCAAAAAATAAAAACTAGAAATTCCATTCGACTCTGAGTCCTCTTCTAAGTATCTGGTTGATAGAGTTAAGGTCATGATATTATGGTGATCCATACCTTCTTATAACATTGCAACTCATAATAGCCAAATCTTGGAAGCAGCCTCTATGTCTATCAACTGATGAACACATAAAGAAAATGTATTTATACCCAGTGAAGTATTATGGTACCTTAAAGATGGATAAACTTGAGTCATTTGTAGGAAAATGGATGCAAGCTTGAGACCAGAAAGTTGTGAAATAGATTATACACACAAGTTTTTATCACGATTGCTCTTATACGAGAAACCAATAAATATAAAGAGCAAAATAAATGATAGATAATAGCAGGGAGGCAGATCTTTTGCAAAAAGGAAAAGGACCAATAGTGGGAAGGGGAGGGAGTGGAGGAGAGAGGATGTAAAAAAGAATTAAGATGTGCTGTAGTCCTCCTCATGAATAAATGATCATGTACGGCAGACATGTACTAATAATTTCTTAAAACTCTTTATGAGTGCTAAGCACATAGTAGGCACTTAATATTTGTTTTATTTACTCTGTGTCAAAATTTAATGATGAAACACAATTCCATAGACCAAAAGGACAATTAATAGATTATCTTTGGCCTTTGTGTGCCTCTGTTGTTGCAGCTTTCATCAGTTTGAGATGTTATGCCTTAATTAGAACTGTAAGTAGCCATGAATAAATTTAAATGATTGTAAATTTCAGAGATGATGTTTCTAATTCATTTGCCTCAGTCTCCTTTTCTCTGGACCAACACTGTAATCAAGGTACAAGGTGTTATTCAAGATAACAAATAATTATCCTTCATTACATAAGCAGTATGTAACTTGACCTTAAAAGTGAGCTTCCCTCGTGAAGATGGCAGTGAAGCTAGCCACCAGCTGGCCTTGTGCTTGCACAATTCCTTGAGTTTGTGAGGTAGGCACAGTGCCACTGTTCTAAATCCCCAGCCCGTTTTATACTTCTCTATCTCAGCTGGAATCATAGATATATTCAGGCCATGGAAGTGCCTGGTTTCTTACAACTGATTGTCCTTTTTGGGTTTAAAATACATTTGAAATTTTTTATTCATAGACTACAAGCCATTTCTGAGAGGTACTTTTCTAATGTGCTTAGCTACTTGTTGTTTATGACATCTTCAAACATTAAACTGGATAAGAATAAAACTTGGACAGATGAAAGATGGATATATGTCTGAAGTTGTTTGGAAGTTGAAAATACTTAATATTATAGATGCTGCAAATGGGTTAAATTGAAAAACAAACAAGGTTTAAGTAAATATTTCTTTGTTCTTGAATGATCAAGAATTAAGCAAGAAGGGGCCGGGGATTTAGCTCAGTGGTTCCTGTGCCTCCCTTGCAAGCGCAAGGTCCCGAGTTCAATCCCCGGGACAGGAAAAAAAAAAAAAATACATGCCTAACAAAAGTGTGATGTCTCTAGTATATGAAAAACTCCCCTCTCTTGAATCAGTAATAACAGTAATAAGGCACCTAAAATAAAATGGCTTTATAATAATTATTTTTTGTTTTTTGTTTTGGTCGAACTCAGAGCCTTGTGCTTCCCAGGCAGGGGCTGTGCCACTGAGCTACATTCCTGGCCCTGGTTTTATAATCATTAACAATAATTATTATTTTTTTAATGTTATGTGTTGTGTATCCTTCATTTTTTTTTAATACTCATTATAATTCTTTAAAATAGAAGCTACCATCATTCTGTTTCACAGATAAGGGACCTAGGGCACTTGTTCATGCTGGCATAGGCAGTAAGTATCTAGTGAACTGTGTAGTTTCTAACTATATGGCTGGCCTTTTGATCTAAAAATTGTGACTTTCTCGGTTCCATGCTCTTAACTGCTGTCTTACACTGCTTAAAATCATCAAAGGACAGGAAAGGAAGAATGATCAGTGTTACTAACAATATAAATTCAAATTAAAATTTTTTTATTAATAAAGTGATGAGAAAAAATTTTTCTGGAGTAGTGCTGGAAACACTTAGCCACAGCTCCCTATGGGCAGAAGGCTTTCTGTGCCTGGGGATCAGTGCTGCAGGATAGAAGTCCTCCTGGTGGCAGTAGGGAATGTGCCATTGTCTTTGATCACTTTTCTGGAACTCGGGGAAAGATGCATCTTGCCCTGTGGTCAGGCTTTGGTTTATAGTTGGTTACATTCATGACTGTAAGCACAGTATGCAAAATTGTCCTTTCTCCAAATGAGAGGGATCTGGCCTGTGACAACTGCATGTATATAGGAAAATGACTGATGGTTTTATTGACTTTCTTTTTAGGAAAGTTTCTAAAAAAAATTGTATATAGGTTTTCAGCTTTGGAAATATATTTTAAATTATAAGTTAATTTTATTGTGCCATCATAGAATTTGAGAGTAATTTCATGAAGCTGATTTCAGTAGCCTCAACTATTGACAAATGATTCAGAATGTTTAGTTTGGTACAAGATGCTGGGAATATAGGTCTGATTTTCCTTTATTTAGACTCAGTAAATGGTTTGGGACAATTAATTTCCAATTGTTTCCCAGTAGAGCAGATTTACTTGTATATTAATGAGGCACAGGTGTTAGGCCCCTGGTGTCTGCATGCCTGGGAGGCATATTTCAGTTGTTTATCTACTCAGCCATAGGTACTGCAAGGTATACAGGCTTGCATTTAACAGTTTTTACAGTGAGGTCTTTTGTTTTTTTTATGTTTTCTTCATAGTTGCCCACACCTGTTAAAATTTTAAAACTGATCATGTGTAAAGAAGTTGTAGCAATTTCAGTAGTAAATAGCACCAACAATTGAAAGTTGTCTTCTATTGTACGTAAATACTCAGCCTACCATTAAAAAGAAATGTTTTTATTCAAATATATTTCTAGTGAGAAGCCAGTATAATCAACAGCATACTTTTTTGTTTTATATTTTTGGAGCAGGTTTATCTTTGTCAGTGTCCATATCAGTCATATATTTTTAATATTCATCTTTTTCTTATTTATTCATTGAACTGCAATACCAGCATTTTAAAGGAAATGGAATAGCCTCCATACACATTATGAATTTCAGTAGCTGGCATAATTATAGCTATCTACATATTCATTAAATCTACAGAAGAAGTGTCCAAAAGACAGCCATGCATTTAGAAACAGAGAACAACTAAATATATACATTTTAAAAGTTACATTTCTTAGATTTATTTAAAAATAATTTCTATGGCACTGTTATCCAAGCAGAAGAATTTTTACAAAAGGATTCCCATGCTTTGATTTCTTTCAAATAGGAAAGAATGGGAAGAACTATTTGTAAACAACAATTACTTGGCAACAATAAGGCAGAAGGGGATTAATGGGCAGCTGAGAAGCAGCAGGTTCCGCAGCATTTGCTGGAAGGTAAGAGAAAAATGTTTATTTACAGTTTGTGGTTGCAATATATCAACACATTACCTGATGCCCTGGAAGATTACCCATGCAGTTGGTGTGGGGTTAGGGGTGGGGGTATCATAGAATTTTCCAAAAGGCTTTGATCCCAATTTTTTCATAAGACATTAACTAATAAGGTTGAACCACCTTGGTCTTGAATAACTGGTGTAAAAGAATCATTGGAAATAACTATCTTGTCATCTCTTTTTGATGGCACAAATCTCAGAGCAACACCATTATATTACCTAGAAGCTTTTACAGAAATTCTTTAAGCTGGGCAGAAGTAGGGGTGGTAGAAAACTTTCAGATTCCTATTATGTCAAATGTTTTCATTTAGTCATCTTCCATTTTTCCTTCATAAAAATAAATGCAAAAGATTTTTATGTTTCGTTTGCTAGAAACACAAAATGAAGGACAATAAGAAGGAGAAGAGGAAGGAAATTGGGTCAGTTTCCTTCTGAGGGAAAGGGTCATTGCTTGCCAAAACTAGGAATAATAATCTACAGTTATCTTTTTAATTGCTTTGAAAAATTGTCCCATTTTGGTCTCCAAAAATGAATTAATTTAGGTTTAGTCTTATTTTTAAAATGACTTCTATCAAAAGTTTTAAGGGTTATCTGCATAAATTGAGCATACGGAGTCTGTGCAAATCAAGACAGCAAGAAATGCATGATATATTAGACAGTTGTAGATTTAATAATTTAGAATTGATAATTAAAATACATTTTTCTTCTGTTAGATGCAAGCAGTAAAGGCAGGAAACCTGCTGCTAGAGTATTTGTATACAAATATTTGTGCCGCACCCCCATTCCCTGTTGTTTAACTTTTAGTATCCTCCATTTCCTAAAAATAAACCTAAATCCAAATTTATTTTCATGTTGTAGTAAGCTAAATTAAATCAAATTTGTCTTTTTAAGAATAGTTATTTTCATAAGCTGATTGCTAGTTGTAAATTACATTTCTGCTGTACAAAGAATGACTATTTCATAGGCTGTGTCTTCAGTACTCAAAGTGTTTTTCTCTATCCTTTAACTGCTTATTTTAAGAAAAATCTTAAACCTAGAAATTACTAATCAGACCTTATGCTCTTTAATAACTCTCTATCACTCCCAGTAAGATTAGAAAGCACAATGGAAATTTTACTTGAACCTCAAAGAGAATTTTTCTTCATTTTTAACACTAATCTGGAAGCGACCTTGATTTTGTTCTGGGATGTAGCTTTTGAGATCTTGGCCTTGGCCTTTGGTTGGTTAGTATTTGAATTTTCTAATTGTATGTTTCTTAATTATTCCCAAATATAAATTACTGGGAATTGAAATTAAAATGATGCTATACATATGAAATTTCATGAAAAACATATCTTTCGATTTTTTTGGAGATTCTACAATTTTTACAAAAATTTTATCTTTTTTTGCCTTGACAGCTGTTTCTTTGTGTTCTTCCTCAAGATAAAAGTCAGTGGATAAGTAAAATTAAAGAATTAAGATCATGGTATAGCAACATTAAAGAGATAGTAAGTAAATAATAAATGTAATTAATGAACTATTTTATTATGTATACAGATAAGTAGCCTCTGATCTTGTATGTATGTGTTTTATTTCTTTACCAGCGTATCACAAACCCCAGGAAGGTCGTTGGCCAGCATGATTTGATGATCAACAATCCCCTTTCACAGGATGAAGGGGTAGAGTTTGTCTTTAATTTATTTATTTATGTTTTTGGGTACTGGGGATTGAACTCAGAATCTTACACTTGCAAGGCAGGCGTGGTGCCACTGAGCTAAATCCCTGGCCTTGTCTTTATTTTTATCTCAACCTCTTTTACCTATAAGATTATGCTTATGTGACTGATTCAAAATAAGTACGGAAAAAAATATATTTCATGCCAAGTATTTTCTATATTCCATATATACTACCTAAAACCTGATAGCAATATTTTTGTGGTGTACTTGTGTATTGTGTTATAGGAAGTTTATAATTTATTTCTCTAGAATGGCACTATAGAGAAATCTCAGTGGTGTGTAAGAACTAAGAGTAAGATAGAAGAGCATACTTAGGAGGACTGCACTGTCTTAATCCATTTACAGTAGGAATTGGGGCAGCTAAAGAAAACCTGTACATGAGAAGAGAAGAGAGAATGGTATTCCACTTAGCAGAACCATCTCTCAGGAAGGAAGAAGTACATATCTGTGGTATGTGAAGAAGTTTTTAAAGAGGTCAGGAAAAAGGTCAGGGCTACCTCTACTCATATTCCAGTGAAGACCAGGAATAATTATTACTTTAGATATTTTTAATAATTTATGGGTTAGGGATAGAACTCAGGGCTAAAACCCCAGCCTAGCACATGTGAGGCCCTGGGGTCAAACCCAATGTTGAAAGCAGGGATGTGTGTGTTAATTAAGAGAGATTGAGTAAATTTTGTATAACTTTAATTGTTGCTACTCTAATTCCTATTTAGCTGAGAAAAGAAAAACACTTTTCCTATTTTTCCATATTTTCCATATTTTTTCCTGGTATAATTAGCATAATATAGTCTTTGGTATAGCAATCTAAAATATTAAGTAATTTTTAAAACTTTACCTAAGATCACATTTCAAAACCTACATAAAAGCCTTTTATATTATAAAAACAAGCTTTAAAGAAAACGATGGATATCTGTTTTAATACATTGGAAATTCAAATATGGTTCAACCTGTGACTTAGCCCATGGGTTCTATTCTAATCCAGGCACCTTTGTGTTTATAGGAGTAGGAACATGTATTCAGCAGTGAAAAGGGTCATTCACTTTATGGAGATAATCGAAATTTTAAAAATACATACAGTAATATCAAATTGGAAGTATTGATGTTAGAATAAAGATGTGCTTTTGAGATTAAACTAGATTTTAATAAGAATTATCCCAATCTCAGATTTCCTGTCTGAGAACTCTGAACTGAGAGTATAAAAGAGCATAAATTTAATCACTTAAATTATTAAATTGAACTCATAAAAGTCAAGCAAAGATGTGAAATTATTTTAATTAGGTTGTTCGTATTTCAGAGTCTTTGGAACAAATTTTTCCAAGATAAAGAACTTCGATCAATGATTGAACAAGATGTCAAAAGAACGTAAGTAGAACTTTTTACTTTCAGTAATTCAAATTGTTGTTACTTCTTTGTAATTTTAGCAAAATATAAAATCTATAGAGGAGCCTTAATTGACTATCATATTCTACTTGTATCAATAGCAGTGTTTTGACCAAACTTTGATAATAAGGACTATACTCCATTCTGAAACTATAGGATGCTGTGTTCCTTTTTTTCAAAATAAATTATCTTTATAATATTTAGGATATTAAATACATTTAATCTGTTTTTCATTTTTCAGCAATTATTTGAAGCCATATGAATCTCATCAGGCTGTTGTATAATCATTACTTACCTCTTACTTTATTTATTTTAATCCCTTTCTAGCCAAATTACTTTTAAAATGACAATAATTATTTTCATCTTTCTCATTTCTCTTTCATTTGGAGCTATTCAGGTTTGCAGGTTCTCTCTAAAGCTATTCAGTTTTTACCATGTGAGAGACCAATTTCTTATTTGTTGCACAGTTAATGTCTATGGCTTATATATGTTGGACCTCATCTTTTCTAGTCATATGGTGGGAAGTACATAGAATTGATGTCAGAGACCCCAGAATGTATTCTAGCTAATTATGCTGTAGTCATGGAAAGATTATTTTCCACATCTTTCTCCTTAATTTCTTTTTCTTTAAAATGGGAATAAACTTAGTAAGACTTCACAGGATTTTTATAGATTGAGTACAAGTTGAGTATGCCTTATTTGAAATGCTTAGGACTAGAAGCATTTCAGATTTCTAATTTTTGTTTTCTTTTTTCAAATTTTGGAATATTTGCATAGAGTTTACCAGTTCATCATTTCTGATCCAAGCATTCAACATCCAGAATACTCCATAATTAGAAACTTTTGGAGCATCATATAAATGCTCAAAAGTTTGGACTTTGGTTTTGTATTAAAAATCCTCAGTCAGTATGTGTAGTAATAGCAGTAATTAGGTGTTGAAACTATAAAGCATTACATAATGTTAATATAATCATTATATTTGGATGAGCTGGCTATCTACACAGATATGAGTATTCTAGTGGCATCCTCCAAGACCTTGCAGCTTTACCTGCGTGCTCCATTGCTAGTTCAACTCCTGTCAACCCTTTTACAATGTTGAGGCCTCTGGCTTTCTGACATTTATCTTTTTCCATGTCCCAGTCACTGAATAATCAGATGATATAGACTACTATTGAGTTACACTACATATCTACCAGATGAAAGTTGCTATTTTAAAGTAAAAATAATTCAGAAACTGTTGTGTGTTCAGAGCTCAACAAACCTCTAGCTAACTGTAGCATATAGGCTGGGAGGTATGAGGTAATTTTGGTTATCTTGCATAACCCATTAATTCAGGAATAACCCATTTTTATAGAGAAGCTACTCAAAGATGTCAGGTGACAGTGCTTGATCTCTCTAGTATCTGATTTCAGGAAGTAGAGTACCACTGTGGTGCACACAATAAATATTTGAATAAAACAAAGAATTTACTCGCTAGTGGCAATGAAACAGCCCTTATAGAAACAAAATATATGGTGTATATAGCTAACCAAACTGTAAAGTTTCCTCTTTTAAAAATTGACAGTTTCAGATTGATGTGTCTAATAAGATCGATTATAATCCATCTCTCCATAGTTGTTAAATGGAAAAGCTGTAGAGTCACACTCTCAGAGGCCATAGGACCAGATTGTTTAAAAGAAATAGAAAAAAAGAGGGAAGAAATAAACTGACAGCAAACCCAAATAGAAGCTTCTTTATCATTTTGTTTACTTAGTTCAAACATTTCTACTTCACTGTGTAATAAAGTTATTTCTTGAAAGTTGTACTCTTTTAATTATTTCATTTTATATTTTCTAGGTAGTTGTAAAAATACAAGATGCATATAGTCCTAATTTTTTCTTAAAGTTTATTTCCCACTAATATGTTTTAATTAAATTGCAACCCTAAGATTCAGTGACAGCAACGAGGAGAACCTATCATTCATAGTATGGATGGGGAAGGTTACATTTTTATTTCCCTTGAAGAATTTCCTGTGACCCTGTCTTGGTTTAGAAGGAGTTTACATGTCTTCTCTTGTCTAAATTCTGTGGCACAGAATGTAGCCTGTAAGATAAAGCAGTTAGTTGTATTTTAAAGCCACCAAATTGCTTAATCACAAAAGCTGAATAGCTTGAATAATTTTACTGCTTTGCATCTCTTTAAGGCATTATGTGATCTAAAAATCTGTTTTTTAATTCAGTCTTTGAAGCAACTGATAATAAAACAAGAATACAACTCAGAGAAATGTACACAATGTTACTTGTTCATTAACATCTCTGATAAGAACTTTGGTTTTTAAAACATGTTTATTGTTTTTAAAACTACTGTATTCCAGCCTTGACTTTTGTATTGAGGAGATTAGAGCGGCAAATAACACAGGCAGGGTTCAGCCATCACAGCATGTATATTTTCATCTGGTGAGAAAGAGCGAGACAACAAGCATGTGTAGATAAAGAACAATTATTGGGGTGAAAATTACTCTGAAGAATAAGATAGAGGTAGAATAGCTAGAGAGATAGCTACTTTGGGAAGAGTGATTAGAGAAGACATCAGAGAAAATGGCATTTGATCAGAGATATGGAAAAATTTTTGAAAGCCAGTCAAGTGAAGATCTAGGGGAATAAAATTCCAGGCAGAGGGAACAGCCAGTACAAACTCCCTCAGTGAAAATGAACTCTGTTGAGAGGAACCAAATAAAGGTGGAGGGATCCAAAACCAAGTGATTTAAAGACAAAAATCTGAGAAGAGTGCAAAGCCAAACCATCTTTTGTACTGTCTTAGTTATTTTTCTCTCATTGCTGAGGCTACTTAGGGCAGGTAGCATTCATACTGTTAATCCTAGTCCCCTTGAGCCTAGCGTTGCACTGTGAATCAATTCCAGCATCACACACTCTAGATCCACCCACCTCTAACAAAGCCCCGCCTATGACTGCATGAATCTTTGGAGGGACATCTAGACACAAGCCATAACATGGACCATAGTAAGAAATTTGGATCTTATTTCAGTTGCGATGGGAAGCTGTTGGAGGATATAGAGTCAGAGGCATGATGTCTAAAAAGATACTTCTGGCTGCTATGTAGTAGGGTGAACTTGGATGTAAGGATAGAAGCTAGATAGCAGCTAGGAATCTAATCAGTATTCCAAGTTAAGTAATGTAAATGTCTTAGACTACAGGTATAGTATTAAAAGGAATTAAGAGTAGAGTAAATACAAATTAGGGTGTCATTATATGTAATTTTCTCACATTCATCAGTTCTGTTCCAGTTTTATTGCTCTTTGCATTACTTTTTGCCCCTTCACTTAGCCAAAAGGCTGAGAAGTGATTAACTTTTTGCCTCTTACCTGCAACCTCTTACATAGGATCTAGTATCATTCCACATCCATTCCGTTCCATGTATTACTGCCGCCCAAATACTCTTCTCAATGCAGATTTATAGTCTTGCTATTTGCATAATCCAAAACCTGCAGTTCTCTATGGCCTACATAGAGAATGATTGTACCCAGCTTCCCTAACCCACAACCAGTTCAGTTTTAGATCTGTGCTTCTGGCATTGTTTCAAGAGTAAGTTCTGTGGTTTCCATTTTCCATGCTTTGCAATTTTCAATGTTCTCTTCTGTTGGATCCCTGCTTTCTTCCAGTGCTCCCTGTTGGATTCCTCAAAAACTTTAAGGCCTGAGTTTGTCATCACTGTGTCCATGGTGCATTTTCAAGTCTATATAATTTTAAGGCCAAGGATTTAGCTCAATGGCAACACTCCTGCCTCGCAAGCGGAAGGTCCTGAGTTCAGTCCCTGGTACCAAAAAATAAATTATAAGTAATTTGTGCTTATTTTATACTTATTTTCTTAAAACTTTTTGATGACATTATTTAATTTGGTTTGGCCTGTATTAGGTACATCTGCTAATACTTTCAGTACATTTATATTAATCCATTGAGGGTCCCAGGCACTGATTATACCAAGATAAAAATATGACATATATCCTTACAATTTAAGGATAACTACTGTCATAATAGCAACAATATATATAAAAACTCTATTGTTAGCCCAGGTCTTATCTTTCCAGCTAATGATAAGCCCCTGTGACACATGGGGCCTAGTCTTCTTTGAGTCTCATTGGACTTTGCCAAGTTGATGCTTTAATAAATCATCACTACTTATGAATCATATCACTGACAATCAGTGTTCTTAATTTCAGTTATATTCTATAACATCTTTTCAGTCTTCAGAGACATAAGCATACTTGTAAAAATACTCCTGTGACCAACCTTATACTGTAAGTTTAAACAAAATAATTTGATCTTATAAGCTATGTTTTTTGTCATTATTGAATTTATTTGATTGAATATGTCACTATATTAAGTATACTCTTCCTCTTCCAATAATTTGAAAAGTATTTTTTGGCTCAAAGTGTTTTGTATTCATTTACTTGTTCCATATCTTAATGGAATTGTTACTATTCCCATTTTTATTACTGAAAAATACGTAATAGTCAATAGGTAAATCAAGGAATTTCTAATTTATTGTATTTCTGATTTAGAAATAGAATTATCTATTCTGAACAAATTTTACCAAGTTTCAGAGCTCTAACATTAATACTGAATTTTAGTATTATTTAAAATGAAGGGAAATAATGAGTTCAGGATGGAATATCATTTCCATATTAAATGCCAAAGAAGTATGTTATTTGGTCTATCAAGGTTTATCTAAAAATATATATATACAGCATCTATAATATCATTTGTAGATTAACATATTAAGCTGTTGCCAAATGGTCTCTTCAAATGTGCTCTCTTTCTCTCTTGAATTAAATGATTAAAATTCTTTATTGTATCCTTGTTCCTGTGACCATATTTAAAATGTATTTTGAAATTAATTTGATTATCTGTTGGATATACTTATCATCATCTTTAGTTTGGGATATTTTTTATTTTTAGTTATTTAGTTAATTTTAGGTAGCTCAC